GAGTGTTTAGCTATTGATGTAATTGAATTAGCAAGGTATGAAATAGATGGAAAGAGAAAGGCAATAGCGAGATGTTTACATTATTATTTCACTTACTACAGATACTGTAAAAACACTACAGGTAATTCTCTTCTGTGCAGATGATTTCCTTCTATTACCTATAAAAACAACTACGGGCTTTTAAGAAAGCTTAAATACAGTGAATGAGTGATCTGGATCAGACAAAGGTGATAATGCTACAAAAAAGCACAGGATTGTTTAAGGGAAAAGGCAAGTGTATCAATCAAAATATGCATACTGAGGCTGGGATGACTCACAGCACACCAAATGCTTTCTCAAGAGAATTGATTCAGTGCTGTCAGGGGAGGGAGCATGGGGGAAAGAGAAATAATTATGTAGAGTTTTAAGCATGAGAACAAAAAGTTTTAAATTTGATTCAAGAGGGAGCTAATGGAAAGACCTGCCTGCAGCTCTGTTTGGAAGTCAGGTGCTCTTACAGAGAATGCATGTTAATGCATGCTGCAGGTTTCCAGGTCGTGCTTTTGTCTGCACAAAGGCTGAGCCCTGACCCTGGTTACCTGTTCCCAGAAAGGCCCTGAGGAGCCATGAGCCACAGACCCTCAGCTTTCCAGAACTCTGGAGTTAGAGCTATAGGAGGGCATCAAAAGTCTCAATGTAGGTGCTAACGTGTGCGTTCTTGGGACACTAGGGATCCTGACACAGAAGATTTCCTAACTCCCTCCCCATGCTGTCTGTTTAATGGGTAGTTAATTAGCTGTTCCACTATACTTGTTCAAGCTAAAGTCACCCAAACATTTGCCCCTTATACTCCTGAACTATTTTGCTGCATAACTTCAGGGATACAAAGTGGTTTGTGGGCATCTGCTCTGGATGTGAAATTGCTTTATTATGTGTTTTCCTTATTGTTGCTGTGTCTTGGCTTCCACTTGGCTGGACCATCGTTACGTTAGCCTGCCAATGGCATTTTGGCAGACCCCTCTTGGTTAGTCCCTGAGCATTTCTCTCCCTGTGACCCGATGGATTATTGTGTGCTCCTAGAATCTGCCGTGATGTTAGTTTTGAGCTACTGCTTTCCTGATTCTGGCTTTACACAGTTTCTTGGTAGTATCTGCTTGTAGTATCTGCTTATAGTATCAGCCCTCTGGATGAGGTTTGCTTTCCCTTCCAGTGAGAACTAGATCTTCTGTCTAAATAGTCATCAGCCACTTGGTCTGCAAGACAGGGATCTATTGGCTTCGTATATGCTATGTTGTAATGTTGTGTAGACATAGAGCGTTAAACTGTTCCAGTGTGGGCATTTGATATCACTTTTCCAAGGAATATTGAGGGATTACTTCCCCTGTTTGTGGAGGTCGTCTCAGGACTGTGCTGCTGTCTCAATACCATATCCCCTTGATGATTTGAACTCCTTTTTTTACCTTCTGCTTCTGAATCAGTTACTTGTAATTGCTAATAGTTCCCACAGTCTGTTCCAGGTGTTTAGCAGAAGACTTCTTAGCTGAGTCCTCCCCTTGTGAAGCTCTGCAATCCAACGCCTTGAAATCCACTCCTGGGATCTCCCAAGTCTTGTTTACCCCCCTTTGCTCAGATTTTCCAGTGGATTAAGAACACTTCCTTCTGCTTTAAATCCTTCACAGACAGCGTTCCGGAAAGCTGACTAAGATAATTTTTGTAAAGGAGTTTTTCATTATAATAACTTTGCTCATAAAAGGCATTGGAAAGCTCTGAAGATAGCAAGGGTATTAAAATGTAGCCTTCTTCAGTCTGGCTTGCTCCTTCTGTGAAGCCAAGATCTGTAGTCCTCAGGGGACTTCTCCCACTCCTCCTTTTTGTTCTGCTGCTAGGCAGTGACTCGAGCTCTGCCACTGTAGTTGCAGTAATTTAAATGTTCCTATCCCAGCTCTCTTCCTCACCTCTGCTTCTCCACCCTGCAGCACAAGTGCACGCGGTGCCAGCTGCTGCAGTTTGCTCTCTGGTGTATTAGCAAAAATCTCCTTCATGTTGGAGAGAGATGATATCTTCAGCTGCTAAAGCTGAAGTCTCTGGAACAAAAGTCAAGCTGTGTTATTGATAGCATCTCCCACTCCCACTGGTTTTTTTCTTGCATTGAAATTCAGCCTCTTTCTGCTGTAGTTCTATGTATGAAAAATATTGTTTCAGAGGTCAGTGAGTTAGAGGGGAAGAGGCAATGTAAAGTGCTTAATGGCTTTTCCCTGATGGCCTTTTGGCAAGGTGTCAAACACCATTCCTAGATAGGGCACCGCTCTGAAATACAGTATAACAACATGTCTTACAGCATGATCAGAATTGCGTTCAGTACATGATGCGAAATGGACTACACATTTTCTTAAAATTTTATCCCGCCCTAACACACTGTGTTTTAATTTGAATGGAAGGATAAGATAAGGGTATCATTAAAGCAGAAGGAGAAGTTGCAGTAGTTAGGAGGTGACTTACAGTACTGCTCAGGATTTTAATTAAAGAGTCCATCTGAACAGACAAGAGCCTTCACACAAAAGTAAAAACCAGCAGAACCATTTGAATGTGAGACTAAATGAGAGAGAGGAGAAAAAGATAACCTTCAGACTTTGAGAAACTTGGGACTTTCTAAACACACACAACACTGTCTTGAGCCTGCATTTACCTGATAGCAGTGTTTGAATATCAGATAGGAAAACTTATGGAGAAGTATTTATAAATATCAATATTCCACATATTGGTTCTGATTGAAAATACAGCGTAGTGTAAAGGAACACCAGCTCTGGTACAATTCCCTGAGCAGTACTCTATGTTTTAAAGGCCAACTCTTAAAAATTCTTTAGAGTCTCTGAAGTCAGTTGAATTTTCTTGAAACTTTCTTTAACTTTGTGGGTTGATGAGGATGTGACAGAGGTTTTGGCTGCTTTTTAGAGGACCAGATCAGGAAAGAATCAAGAGAAATTCCAGAGGCAGAACTGTGTGGATGAGTGAATTAGAAGAGAGAAAGGTGCATTCAGGTGTTCGTTTTCCTCTCCCCATGCTATTAATCTAACCTATGTTAGATTAACTCATTTGTCTTCTAAAGCACCTCGTCCTGTTCTTCCCAGAAAAACCTCTTCCTATTAGACCACAGTAGTATTTATTGTTCTTCTCGACTGCCTGCCACACCACTGCCAGAAGTCCTAATATTACTTTTGTTCTCCCAGGATTGCCATGGTGTGCCAGGCTGCTTGCTCTACATGCATGCACAAAGCATGTTACCACACCTTCTCCTTTGTGCTCCAGATGTTGGAGGTTACTGGCAGTGGAATCAGAAGCTGCATGCCCTCTTGCCTTTCCACTTTCACTTTGTATAAGCCAGCAAGGAGAAAACAAGATGATGACCAGATGCTTTGGGCCATTACTGAGGATAAGCCCCAAGTCACTATTACTAGAATTTGTCTCTCTTCAACCTAACAACTGTTTTATCACTGGGAGGAATAGCAGCAACACCAGCTCATCTAGTGGCCAACACAGCCTTCTGCTTCCTCTTTACCATGCAATTCAGAGAAGTTATTCTTTTGGTTTTGTCTTTTCAGAGGAAAATTTGCTGGGGCTGATTAACAGCTGGCAATTTGGTTTGGCTGTTGTGGCCCATAGGCCAGCAGTTAAAAAAACTGATGAACCTATTATCAGAGTAACAGGGTGGCTCAAGGGACTGGTAGTGTCAAAGCTGTGCCGCACCGTTGCACTTAGTTTGAATCTTTTCTTTCACAAAAATTCACAAGCAGTGTTAGATCATCTGTTCTCTTTCAGGGAAATTTTATTTTGGAGAGCTTTGCTCTGCTAATGCTTGTAGAGAATATTTCAAATAGGTCTTGGCCCTTTTCTAAAAGGTAATAAATTATACATATTCTTCACAAATATGCAACAGCCATTTCTGGGCATATTGCCACTCATGCACCTGGGAAATTATTATAAGAGAGCACAAATATTGATTAATCAATTAGAATTGATTAACTTGAAGGAAGATGAAAGAAAGCATAATGCAACTGTGTTTTATGAATAGTGGACTCTCATACTTAAGGCCAAAGCATTCCTTTAAAAGTGCTACTAACAGAAGATTCTCATAATGCTCTTATGTTCTTAAAAAATTTTGGTGAAGAATTAGGGCTACAGATGTTGGAGCAATTAATGGGAATATATATATATATATGAGTGAGCCCAGAATGCCCAAACAGGTTAATACTCTGCCCTCTTAGATGGCACAAAACTCTTTGCAAACTAAGGGGTTCCCAAACAAATAGAACTGTGC